TATTGTTTCATAACATTGATTAACAACCCCACAACATGTCAACCCTCTCTCTTCTCGACCCTGGAGGACCTTTTTTTTATTGGTGAAAATATACATAGCCAAAGATACACCATTTCAGAAATTTCTACATGTACAATTCAGTGACATTGATTACATTCTTCCAGTTGTGCTGCTATTCTCGCTAAGCTTTTCCAAATTATTCCATCACCATTATCTTCAACTCACTGCCCCCTAGGCTTCCCATCAAACCTTTTGAGTTGCTGTTGTGAGTTTGATCTCACATAGATAATGCTTTTTTTTTTGTACCTTAGATGAAGTTTTACAGAACAAATAGTTTCTCATTAAACAGTCAGTACACCTATTGCCTTATGACAATGGTTAACAACCCCATGACGTGTCAACACTGCCCCTTCTCAAGGCTGGGTTCCCTATCACCAGCTTTCTTGTCCCCTCCTGCCTTCTAGTCCTTGTCCCTGGACTGCTGTGCCTCATTAGTCCTGTTTTGTTTTATGGGGCTGTTCAATCCCCAGCTGAACAGGCTGAACAGTGAACCTGGAGAGTGACTTCACCTCTAAGCTAAAAGGGTGTCCGGGGGCCATACTCTCGGGGTTTCTTCAGTCTGTCAGGCTGGTAATCCAGGCTATAAATATTTACGGAAACACACTGCCACATCTTTCTTCCATGTTGCGGCTGGTGGGTTTGAACCGCCAACCTTTTGGTTAGCAGTCGAGTGCTTAACCACTGCACCACTAGGGCTCTTTATAAATTGTGCAAGGAGAGGTTAAAGTTAGGAGGAAGTGCAAGCACGATTTTAGGAGATTTCAGACCCGTAGAGCCGTGGCAATACAGATTCAAATAGCCAGGACAATTTGGAATGTTTCATAGTGTATTCATGAATTCGTTTAACAAGTATTTACTGAATGCCTAATATGTGTTTAGCACTTTGATAAAACCTGAAAATATCAGTTTAGCAAAGATGTATTTATGCTGAATGGTTACACTCAACTTCTTTTAAAAAAAAAAAAAAAATCACGTGCTTCTCACCAAGCAGAAGGCCTCGGTTGCAGACAGGGACCGATGCGTTCCTGATGGTCTCTCTCCAACTGGCTCTGTCTCCTCAGTTTGCATCTCTGGTAGGCGCAGGTGTGATGCTGCTGCTGATGGTGAAGGTGGGACGCTTTTTCTACCGACTGCCAAATGTAAGTGGCCAAATCCCCAGATTGCATCTTGGTGGGGCATCTTTGAGGAGAATTACATTCAGCCTGTCCCCAGTGGTTGCTCCAGCCTATCTCTATACTTTTGCTTTAAAGTCATATTATGTACCACATACAGTTGTAGGGATTAAATAGGTAACGTATATAAAGCATTTAGAACATTGTTGGCTTTATAGTAACTGCTCAAGACACATTAATTATTATTGTTATTATTCTCATTAATCATCTTTTTATTGTAAGCTACTGGGTAAGGATTCAGTTTTAAATGACCAAAATAGACTTCAGATGCCAGAACCCCCAGTACCAACACAGCCTTGGAAACTGATTGTGCACTTATGCCATCTGTTTTCCTAAACTGTTTCCAGAAGACCTTGTTCTTTGTTCATGGGGACTTAATCCCTCTTTTGCCCCCACACTGCCTCTTGGTTAGTTCACAAGACTAGAAGGTAGGGTCTGAAAGTTGAGTTTTAATTCTGCGTTGAACTCGGATGCCTCTGTATATGAATAGACCATTTCTTCCCTTTGTGGGAGACTGATCACCTTTCACTTAGCCATGCCAGGTGCATTCATTACTGGCTATAATCAGTTTGTTTTAAATTATAATATAGATCAATGCCCAGCGACCATCATTTCCTTTTTAATTTCCTTAATATGCCCTTTAGCCATTTTTAGATAACACTAAGGCAACTAACAACAATAACAGCAAGAGAGGTAGAAGGTTTCTTTCCTGAGGTAGCAGTTTGGTTACATACTGAGGTGGAAGTCCCTAAGCTAGAGTGGTTGTGAATGTTGGCTGGATCTCTTTGAAGGTATCCACCTGGTGAATATCAGGTTTCAGGAGCTCAGGACTATGTCAAGGTTGCTGCTGCCTTCTGCTCTTGGGACTCAGGGGCTTTGGAGTTCCTTCTTGGAATCTATGAGAGGAGGGTGGGAGTAAGCTTGTCATTATCAGTGGCTATCCCCTGATTTCCAGCAGAAGTCATCTCCAAAACTTAATTTATGCAGCACATTTGGTGCTATAACTATTGGAGTTAGGAGGGCCACTCACTGATTTACTTTGAACAGTGATATTTTTTTCTTTACAGCTAGAAGAAGCAGAATAAATAAATCCCAAACAAATATAAAATGTCAGAATTCACTGAAAGGTAGTGATAAAAGTAGGTAGCACTCCTTTATTTTAAACGTGTTGGGAACAGAACAGCCCTTTGTTTTTTTTTTAGCTAACCACATTATTTTTACATCTAGTTAGCCTGTTTCTGGATAAGAAGATGTAAACACAATTGATCAGTGGGATATCCAAATTACTATAACAATGGGGTTCTATGAGTATTAAACAATGGCTGACTTCTTCCTTCCGTGAAAGATTTGTTGCCAAATCCTTACTGGACTCCATTGGTGGAGCAACCAGGCTAGGATCTCAACTAGTCAGCAAGGGGACCAATACAGATTTTGTAAAACATGATGTAAAATAGTATATTTAATATTATTCCAATTTTGTGTGAAAAATACAGAGAACAGACCAAAATGTTAACAATGGTTGTCTCTTGGATAGTAGGAATTATGTATAAGTTTAATTCTTCATTATACAGTAAGCATATTTTACCTTAATATTCAGAAAGGTAAATTTTATTTATCTTTTTATTTTACTGTAGTATATTGTTTTATGAGGTTTGCTTCCTCTTCATATTCCCTGCCTCAAGCCAAAAACCTTTCAAAAACCCTATGAAATTGAGTCTGTTTTCCTTTGTACCACATCACCCTGCAAAAAAACTGCAAAAAGTTTGGAGTTTGTTCGCTGGAAAGAAGATAGCATGGTGGAAAAGAAGCCATTTCTGCTGACCTTATTTTTGCTCTTTCCCTCTGCCACTGACCTGTCGAGTTGAATTGCTTACTAACTACCCTGAGAAGACCAGAGTTGGCTTTAACCCAGCCATTCATGGTAGTAGGATCAGTTCTAATTCCCAGGCAGAGATGGAGAGGAGAGGAAGGCTAGGAAAAGGAAGATAAATGTTAAAACAATTCAGGGACTTCATGAGCACAATAAAATTCTTCTGAAAATAGATTAGGTTCTACTTTGGGACCTTGATGATTTTTATATCCTTGTAAGTCTTCATTTTCTCATATTTAAGAAACTTTTTTTCCATTATAAAAGTAGAAATGCTCATTTTAAAACTTTGGAGAGTTCATAATAGATAAAAATAAAATTCATCTACAATCACAAATAAGCCACCATTAACATTTTGGCATATATCCAACCAATATTATTTCCTGTGAATGGATATCACTTTGCATAGTTGTATCCTAACTGTATATACAATTTTGTACTCTTGTTTCATTTAATATATAGCATGATACGCCATACTGTAACTTATTTAATCATTTCCTTATTGTTACAAAACTAGGTTTTCTGCATTCTTGGTATTATAAATAACATGACAATGAATCTTTTTGTACATCTGTCTTTTTCTATATTTAGGATAGATTTTTAACAGTAAAACAAAATTTCTATGTGAAAGCATATCAACATTTCTTGATATATGACTAAATTATTTTCCAAAAGGGTGGTACCCTTTTATCCTCAACAGCCATGTACATGGAGTGTTATCAGTGTTGAATAATTATAGTATATTATGACTGAACTTGAATAAAAGCCTAATTTAAACTATTTTACTTTCTATGAGTGGAAGTTGCGTTAATTTGTTATCTAGACCATTCATCATCTAGACCATTCTATGTAGGTTTCTATATGGTTAACATAGATTTGTCAGGCACACAAGACAAGGCAAGGCCAACTAGCCAAAGACAAGATGCTTAGCCAAAGATGCCAGCTCCCCATGGGTTTGTCCCGCACACCAGAAGAAACAACACTATCTTAGGCTGAGTTCTCTAGAGGAGCAAAACCAGTGAGGCATATACATAAATACATATTGTTGTTCTTGTTAGGTGCTGTAGAGTTGGTTCCAACTCACGGTGACCCTATGTACAACAGAATGAAACACTGCCCGGTCATGCATCATCCTCATAGTCGTTGCTATGCTTGAGCCTGTCGTTGCAGCCACTGTGTCAATTCATCTCACTGAGGATCTTCTTCTTTTTCACTGACCCTCTACTTTACCAAGCATAATGTCCTCCAGGGACTGATCCCTCCTGATAGCATGTCCAAAGTACACGAGATGAAATCTTGCCATCCTCGATTCTAAGGAGCATTCTGGCTGTACTTCTTCTAAGACAAATTTGTTCCTTATTCTGGCAGTCCATGGTATATTCAATATTCTTTGCCAGCACCATAAATCAAAGGCATCAATTCTTCCATCTTTCTTATTATTCATTGTCCAACTGTTGCATGCATATGAGGCAATTGATAATACCATGGTTTGGTTCAGGAACACCTTGGTCCTCAAAGTGACATCTTTGCTTTTGAACAATTTAAAGAGGTGTTTTCCAGCAGATTTGGCCAGTGCAATACGTCATTTGATTTCTTGACTGCTGCTTCCATGAGCATTGATTGTGGATCCAGGTAAAATGAAATCCTTGACAACTTCAATATTTTCTCCCTTTATCATGATGTTGCTTATTGGTCCAGTTGTGAAGATTTTTGTTTTCTTTATGTTGAGGTATAATCCATAATGAAGGCTGTAGTCTTTGATCTTCATCAGTAAGTGCTTCGCGTCCTCTTTGCATTCAGCAAGCAAGGTTGTGTCATCTGCATATCGAAGGTTATTAATGAGTCTTCCTCCAATCCTGATGGAGGAAGTCCAGCTTCTTGGATCATTTTCTCATTGTGAATAAGTATGGTGAAAGGATACAACCCTGATGCACACCTTCCCCAATTTTAAACCATGCACTATTCCCTTGCTCTGTTTGAACAACTGCCTCTTGGTCTATGTACAGGTTCCTCATGAGCACAATTAAGTGTTCTGGAAATCTCATTTTTCACAATGTTATCCATAATTTCTTATGACCCACGCAGTCAAATGCTTTTGCATAGTCAACAAAACAACAGTAAATGTCTTTCTGTATTCTCTGCCTTCAGCCAAGATCCATCTGACATCAGCCATAATATCTCTCATTTCATATCCTCTTCTGAATCTGGCTTGAATTTCTGGCAGTTCTCTGTTGATGTACTACTACAACCACTTTTGAATAATCTTCAGCAAAATTTTACTTGTATGTGATATTAATGATATTGTTTTGATAATTTCCACATTCTGTTGGATCACCTTTCTTTGGAATGGGCACAAATATGGATCTCTTCCAGTCAGTTGTCCAGGTAACTGTCTTCCACATTTCCTGGCATAGATGAGTGAGTACTTCCAGTGTTGCATCCAATTCTTTTTGGTACTATGACTCTGTGTATTCCCTCCATCTTCTTTTGATGCTTCCTGCACCGGTCAATATTTTGCGCAATAGAATCCTTCAATATTGCAACTCAAGGCTTGAATTTGTTTTCCATCGTCTCTTTCCACAGATGTAGTCAATTTGATTCCTGTATTTTCCATCTAGTGACATCCACGTGTATAGTCACCATTTATGTTGTTGAAAAAAGGTGTTTGCAATGAGTAAGTAATTTTCTTGCAAAATTCCATCATGTGATCTCCAGCCTTGTTTCTATCACCAAGGCCATATTTTCCAACAACCAATCCTTCTTGTTTCCAACTTTAGCATTTCAATCACCAGTAATTATCAGTGCATCTTGACTGCATATTTGATCAATTTCAGACTGCAGAAGTTGGTAAAAATCTTCAGTTTCTTCATCTTTGGCATTAGTGGTTGGTGCATAAATTTGAATAATAGTCGGATTAACTGGTCTTCCTTGTAGGCGTGTGGATATTATCCTATCACTGACAGCCTTGTACTTCAGGATAGATCTTGAAATGTTCTTTTTGACGATGAATGCAACACCATTCCTCTTCAATTTGTCATTCCTGGCCTAGTAGACCATATGATTATCTGATTCAGAATGGCCAATACCAGTCCATTTCAGCTCACTAATGCCTAGGATATTGATATTTATGCATTCCAGTTCATTTTTAACGACTTCCAGTTTAATTTTCCTAGATTCATACTTTGTACATTCCACATTCTGATTACTAATGGATGTTTGCAGCTGTTTCTTCTCACTTTGAACCGTGCCACAACAGCAAATGAAGCTCCTGAAAGCTTGACTCCATCCACATCATTAAGATCGACTTTATTTGAGGAGGCAGCTCTTCCCCAGTCGTATTTTGAGTGCCTTCCAACCTGAGGGACTCATCTAGAACTATATCAGACAGTGTTCCACTGCTATTCATAAGGCCTCAATTGGCCATTTTTTAAAGAAGTAAGTTGCCAGATTCTTCTTCCTAGTCTCTCTTAGACTGGAAGCTCTACTGAAACCTGTCCACTAAGGGTAATCCTACTGATATTTGAAATACTAGGGCATAGCTTTCAGTATCATAGCAATATGCAAGCTACCACAGTACAAAAAACTGACAGACAAGTGGTAGATAAATATACAGAGAGAGATTTATTTCAAGAAAATGGTGCACACAGTTGAGGAGGCTGACAAATCCCAAGTCTGTGGGTCAGGCATCAGGCTGAAGACTTCTCCTGACTCACATGGTTGCAGGGGCTGACAAACCCAAAATCAGCAAGTCAGGTGGCAGGCTGCTGGCTCATGTTCCAAGAACCAGAGGACAGGGGATGACAAGTGTTGGCTGCAGAATGGAGAGAGAGTGAGCTCCTCCAGAACGTCCATATATACTGGATGTAGGCCAGACCCCCCAAGGAACTCCCCCTCCAACTGACTGGCTGCTCACATCAGATCACAGAATGGAGGATGATTACATCATATCTGCCAAACCACTGAGAATCATGGCCTAGCCAAGTTGACACATAACCTTAGCCATCACAAACACTGAAACAGAAGGGGCAGAGTGACTAACTTTTGGCTACTCTTCCTTTCACTTTCTATGTAAGTAATGGACTATCTGAATCTTAAAGGGTCTCGTATCTTTACCAGCCAAATCAGTCAGGCATTGGCCTTGCCCAATCTTGTATGTTTGAGAAATTATGGAGAAAAACAGCAGAATATTTATTTGATTGCACAATGAGTTGGAGGAGTATGGACATGGTATTAATATGAGATATCAATGGAAAAGATCTCTGAGTGGGAAGCCTGGCTAACTTTTTTTTTTAAAATATTGTGTTTTTGGTGAAAGTTTACATAACAAATTAGGTTCCCTTTTAACAATTTCTGTACATATCGTTCAGTGACATTGGTTACATTTTTCACAATGTGTTAGCATTCTCATTATTTCCATTCTGGTTGTTTTGTTTCCCCTGACTAACCTGTGGTTCCTTTGTAAGGACTTGGGAGTTTTATCCTCAACAGAAAATGAAGCAGGGTTTATCTTTTCCCCATAGGCCGTGCTGGCTGGTGTTATTCTGAGCAACGTCATGCCCTACCTTGAAACCATTTCCAACCTACCTAATCTGTGGAGGCAGGACCAGTATGATTGTGTGAGTATTTAGCACTGGCTGAGGAAGGGAAGTACAGAGGGGAAGGTTAGAGGGAAAGAGAACAAACAAAAGAGATTAGTCATGGACATGACGATTACTAGCCATTCTTTGATGCCTAGTACTCTACTTTTGCTTTAAAAAAGAGAGTCAAGGCTGTTGGCAGATGAAAATACTGAGACTTTATTCCAACTATGCAAAACTAAATAAAAGGAATTAAGTGTTGCTGTTAGGTGCCGGGGAGTCAGTTCCGACTCATAGCGACCCTATGTACAACAGAACGAAACACTGCCCGGTCCTGTGCCATCCTCACAGTTGTTGCTATTTTTGATCCCATTGTTGCAGCCACTGTGTAAATCCATCTTTTTGAGGGTCTTCCTCTTTTTTGTTGACCCACTACTTTACCAAGCATGATGTCTTTTTCCAGGAACTGGTCCATCCTGATAACAGGTCCAAAATATGTGAGACAAAGTCTCACCATCCTTGCTTCTAAGGAGCATTCTGGCTGTCCTTCTTCCAAGACAGATTTGTTCATT